ACGCAGGAAATGTAGAACGTTATTTCAGTACCGACAATATGCATAATTCTCTGTTCTAATGATTTCTAGAACAATAAACGAGAAAGACTAACTGCTTCACCCACAAAACATTTTAATAGCTTCAATATCTCCATTCCCTGTGATCAAAACAAAACTTAATGAGGTACAATACTTGATGAGTTCTGCAACTTTCGTTAAGTGTCTAGTTCCTTCTACGAACTCCTTCTCTTGGAAGTCTTTTCCATTTATAGCATCAGTTATTAGTTTTTGTGTTATTTGTGGCCTTTTCATTTTTGCCAATATCGAATTTAAGCTGCTCAGGAAAAGTAAATGTAGGGATTAAATACAAAACTAAAAAATTTTCGTTTAGTACGAAATCAAAGTGTTTTTAGTCTCAGATTCCCCAATGTAATATTTCGCCTTTGTGATGTGGAAGGGTAATAACGTAAAAATTGCAATTCGAAAACTTCAGATACTTTCAGATTTGCTGAGAGATTAAACGTATTTTTGAAGAAAATAAGTTATACTTTACTACAAGCTTTTCTTATGTATAAAATAAAGACTGCACTTTAAACTTTTTATTTATAATCATAGTACATTATACATAACAAAGCACTGTAATGCTAACATTGTTCTATTTTTTATATGTGTATCCAAAAGTGTTGTCATTCACAAGTTAATAAATACTAAATGTTGCCATTTATAAATTACTAAGTATTAAACTGTAATCAAATCATTAAATAATTTGTGCATTGTGCATTTCTAAAACATATATTATATATATATTAAATTCTGTAAATTTTAAATTCATTTGCTTGTTGTATCCTTGCCTTTTTATTGTTGTAAAACTGGGACATTATTATTTATAATAAATTGACAGTTACTTTCTTCTTATTTGAAGTGATTCGGCCACAAACCTGTAACAGTATATTGCAGCAATAAATGAGTTAAGTTATGAGTTCAAAACCAATGATTTAGGAATTGTGATCAATACAAAAAGCACTCATAAAATGTTACGAACGTATCAAAATATATTCCCTCAAGTTTTAACATTTTGCTTCAAACCTTGGCTTCTGTCCACAACTTGACCAAGAAAATTAATAAATTCGATATTTATTATTTTATAGATTACAATATCGTTAACAAAAAATAAATAATAAAAAAAAAAGAAGTCCTATATTGTATTTAATACTGCAGAATATGAATGTGAAACCACTTTGTTAAATGGTCAGAAGGGAAAAAAGATCTTCACAAAAGCTATATTGAATATTCAAAAGAGCTATATTAAAGCAATGAAAACTAAAATAATATATAAAAAGATAAAAAATATGAAGGGTTTCAGATTTTAAATTACGTCCAAAGGGGCGTTTCTTTAACATTTTGTCTGAGTTTGTTAATCAAAAATTCGTTAAAGATTTACAAAATATCAAATCGATAATAAAACGAATTCCAAATTTGGGCTTCCACATACTCATATTCGCAGTAAGATTAAGTCATTCAAAATTCGATGGATCTATGTACCGATGTTTTATCACAATGCGAGAAATATACATATATTTAAGGAAATTTTTCATTATTTAATTTCTTCAAATATAATGCAGGACTCTAATAGTTGGTGGCAACAGCTTGAAAAGTGAAATGGACATTTATAGCGAATCAACGTAAAACAAAAACAATAGACCTTCAGAGATAAAGCCCCTTTCGACTAATAAATGCAGAATGCGATCATATGATACGAATATGTGGCACAATATCAGCTAAATATATCAAAGTGAAATAAAATATTTGGGAGTTCATTGTCCATTAGAGCATCATCATGTGCTCTAGGCACTATAATAAAGCATCTGTAATCCCATTAAAGGTGAGTTTACCATCAAAATACTCTCTCTAGCAATAAACTGCAACTGTTCAAATCTGCAATGGGATTTGTGAAGGAAGAGATAGTTCATTTCACTCGTCATTCAATGCCTATTTGCAAAATTTCAACTTTCAAATTTCGCTGCCTTAGTTGTAAAAAAAAAAAAAAAAAAAAAAATTAGCTAATAGATAATTATATCTTGGAACCTGCAGCTTCAATCGTACCACTGTCACAGCAAGATGGTCATGTAAGAAATTATAACAGCTAAACAGCAAATAAAAATTACAGAATTGGATATGTATCCGCTTAACTAGAGATCTGCTCGTGCATTTATCACATGGCAACTTGTTCCCTGAATTAGTTCTCTGAGATGCATACTAACAGTCAGAACTGAATGAAGAATTCAAGAATTTAGTTCAATACTCACAGAGTACATATTCCACCATGCCTGGCTGAGCGGTAAGAGAGTTAAAACACTAGTAGTTCATCTTCCTTTCCTTTTAGGGTTAAAATTTTCTCGTGTGCTTAGTCAAAAATTTACATAAGCTGTTATCTCGTTTTCTGTTTAGTACTGCTTTTACACTTACTATATTTTCATAAAATCTTTACAAGGCATAAAAGTGGGTTTCATATTATTATTATCTTATGGTTTCAGGCAGAACTGATAAGGAACATTTAGAGATGTTAATCTAGTCCTTACCCGGCTGGACGTACATCCAGTCTGGGCCTACTCATATAAAACGGATTGTAAAGGGCCGTTCCCACTGGGGTGTATTGAGCTAACGGAGTCAGTTCCATGTGTCAACTAGCTCCACTATGCCTGCAGTTCCAGATTTTTCAACTTGCTCCCTAATGGGAAAAAACTGGTTTTGGAGATGGGTCAGCTATGTCATTTGTCTCTATTGGCTCAGATAAACCCCAGTGGGAATGGCCCTTAAAAGATTGCAAATGGCTCAGAACTGTGTTCAGAGTCAGATTACAAACTATCCCTGGCATGTCAGGCGAGGGGGGGGGACATTTATGAAGACTCTCAATATCCAAGTTTTGTAATATTGTATAACTTGCTCCATACCCTAAACATTCTGCCTCTATAATCTTACTATTTGCCAGCCATTGTACATTCTACACCTGACTTTACTATTTGGCAGCCACTGTATTTCTATATTGTTAAGTGTCTCTGCATTGATATTTTGCATTAACATTTGAAAAGAAGCAAAAGTTCGTCCTTTTTTTGTTTCAATTTTTAGTATCAGCTCAACAACTCACTAAATCTTACCTTTGAACTGGAATCAATCATGCGAAATCTATTGTTTAAAAAAATATATATTATGTAAAATTATATAACTATATCTCTCATCAGTGTGATTACAAGAAATTATCAAGTTACTATTGCAAATTGATTGGAAAGCCTAATTTTTTAGTTTGATAGGGGGTAGGGCTCTGTAGCCTAGGTGTGTACACCACTATACTCATGGTGGTTACATTCTGCTAAATGCGAATTTTTGAAAACTTCTGTGAAATACCTGGTCTAATGAATTATAAAAACATGGACTCTATTCCAAATGAGTTTAAAGTAAGAACTATTGCAGAAAGACCCAAGAAATGTGGATGAATTCCACTGTTTTATTGGCTTAGTGATAAATTACACAAAATTTTTGCTAGTACCATAACCCTGTAAAAATTACTAGAAAGACAACTCTGGAAGTGGAGAGATCAAAATAAAGGAGAGGGGGAACTCTTTGCAAAGTAACAAATATTATAAAGTTAGTCTTTATTAATGCATTTTGATAATGAGAAAGAACTGACATTTGCTTCTAATGCAAGTCCACGTGGACAATATTTTCTTTCTATTTGTTCTTTAAAAGACAGTTTTTTCCATTCCTGTTGCAACTGCTTCTGCTCGAGTTCTTTCTTGTTGAGCTCATTTTTATGATTTTGCATATATTCATAGTTTAACTTCCAAGTGCAAGGTTTACCTCGACACAAAACTGTAAATAACGAAAATTCCTAAATGTCGAAGGTCTTGTCTGCAATACAAACTGGTTATAATTTTTGCCATAGTGAACTTACTGTTGTTGTCAGGCTTTATTAACATGAATTACTAAACAATGAAAAATACTGTTAAAGAGTTCATATTCTGTATCAAAGGTTAGTTCTGGACACCTGAAATTCATTCATATTTAAATGTTCACAATTTGAGACTCTTTTGGCAGCTGCACTGGAAAAATGAAATGCTGATAATCCAAAAAAGTTCTAAAATGAAATTCAGTATATTTTAACTTTCTTATATGAATGCTGCACAAAACTGATATTATTAAATTCACTAAATTTTACTTATGTACTCAAAGAGCTTATCTACCTGAAGTGAAAACACCCTATTATTTATCCTGTTCATCCTCAATTCTTCAAAAAGTTCTTTCATTTTCATCCTCAATTCCTTTTTCCTGCTACATTCAATTACAAAGACTTTGCATACAGTGACCATTTCAGGAAGAAAACCCCCTTTCTTTGTTTCTTCTTAAATATATAAAGATCCATTTTTCTATTAGAATTGAATTTTGAATTAGCAATAAGCTCTCAGCTTGATTAAGACTTGAATGAGATTTCTTGCACCTAAATTAATAAGTGTTAATTTTTTCTTCAACTATTGATCTAAAAAAAAGTTATCCCCTTTTTTTACACAGGACGGACTGATAACTGAGAGTTCAATGCACATAAATCTTGAAATTAAATGGCTGCATTTGGCAAAACATGATTTAGTTTTGCAATACGTTCCCATGAAAATACTAATGAAAGATTAAGTCTGCACATAAATACATGGAATATTTTATATTGTAATTTACTACAATCAATGTTACTAAATTGAACTTTTACTCAATGGACTGTAAAAAAAATCAAGAACCCTTCCATTCAAGTGTTAAAACACTTTTTTATAAAATTATTTTTAAATACCTCATAAATGGAAATACATATTATCTATATAAGAAACTAATGCCACAACCCTTTTATGAAAATCCTGTATAATCATGAAACAAAAATTTATAGATATTTCTATTTTGTAATTACTACCCCTGGAATAAAAACCTTTCCTCAGGCAGGAAAAGGATATGCTGAATGTCAACAATAACAACAGTCAAAGAAATAAGTAATTCTTTACAATTTATTCAAATTCCTAGTATACTTACATAACTTACATCACATCACTTAAAAAATAAAAGTAAAAATTTGTTAATAAATGTAAAAACATTTTTCACATTTTACTTTTGTTATACCATACAAATCTTGGGTGAGGCAGCAATATTATACAGCATTATTTCTTTGCAAAACCAGTCTATAATAACAATAACAATAATTATACATTTTTAAACATACACTATCTTGTTTGCAAAGAATTATGCAAGCAGTATTTTTTACATTCACAGCACAAGGGGAGCTTTGCGTAACGTGAAAAATAGTCACACGAGATAAAACTTCACTCACTTTTTGTGCACATACAAACAAAAGAAAAACTTGAGGTCATTTATTTATCAAAACTAGGCACATCATATGTATATAATCACTAATTATCTTTTGTCACAATTAGTCTTCCTTTGATGCTTTACACAGCAGTTCTTGCTGATCAGTGCAGTTGACATCACAAAGGAAAAAATCAAAGAACTGCACCATCTGTCATGTATTTACTCAGCGATATGTAAAAGCACAGTTCAGGCAAAACTGCAGAGTTAAAACTATTCAGAGTAATTTTTTTTCCTAGTCTGAAAACATTTAACTACAGCTTTTATGCAAAAAGACTAGATGAAAAATTATTCTCGTGTTTTTGCTTTAATTTTTGCAAGTTCATAGCAGTATAAACAGCAGATAGTATGTAGAGTACAAACTCTTCAAAGACAGAAAACCTTATATGGAAAACGCAATGCTTGGAAAAACCAATTTTTAAAAAAAAATTATTAAAAAACTAATATGGCATGTTATTTCCCTTACCATTATTGTGATACTCCTGTTAAAATAATTAATACAAATCTTTTAAGATATTCCAACAGTATAATGATTGTAATTAAATCTTATTGCAAAGGTCAAAGATTGTATTTCACATTCACACTATTATTCCTTAAATTTAGACACATTCAAAAGAAATCAGTCATAAAACTGGTTAAAATATAAATGTAGTATCAAAAAAGTTTAGATAATTATATTACTTAAACACAGATACAGTCATATTGCAAATCAAATATACATATCAAAATCTGACACAGTCATCTCTCTTATATTTCAACTGATTTCTTTTATTAACATACTGTGATTTTGATAATAACAGCTTCTAAGCAACATTGAAATTCAACATAACACGTTTCAAATCCCCTCTGTTCTAAAATTTCTGTTAGTTACACCATGTTATATTTGATACATAAATAAATTCATTTGTTTTAGTAAAATAAATTCAAATTTTATACCTCCATGGCCTTATGATACATATACACAATCCCCTTTAATAAAATAGTAAGTTATCAAATAATGAAATAAATAAATAAATGAGTAAGTATAAACATTTCTCTTTACAAAAACTGCAAATAATTAAATTTTACAGCAGTTATTATATATGCATCACACAAATACAGAATAAAAAATTCCATTATATGAATTCATAACCAAAGATTAATCTAGAAGAATAATAAAACAACATAATCACAAAGGAAACTTTGTAAATTATTTCATATGTATACATTCTTTTAAAAAGTTAAATCAAAATTCCACACTTAATTTTATACATTTTAAAAATTATACTTTAAGAATTTTAAAGGCAGTAATCAAAAATATTTTTAAATTATGTAAAATTAATGCTCTAAAAAACTGTACACGAGACTACTTCAAGTTCTGTAAACCATCATTTCATAAAATGGAGAAAACACACATACAAAGATTTTTTGAGATCTATCAAGACATTTAAGTTTCCCTACTTTACTAGAAATACCTGAAAATAGAAATAGTACTATGTATGTCCATTCATGGACTCTGAAGCACCTATAAATTCATACGGCACTTGAAAAGTAATTTTTTAAGCAGAAGGAAGAAGTAAATATTCCTTGTTTTTAACAGTTAAATGAACTTTTAAATGATTGGGATAACAACCTTATATACTACTTTTCAAATATTCTCCTTCATTTATGAAAATAAAAATCAGCAAATTTCACACATTTCAGCTCAAGAAACATAATTTAGGATTAAAATTATCAGAAAACAGCCTGCTATTGCTCTAAAGTGCTATTTAAACTTTAAACAGTACTTCAACACAACAACATAAAAAGTACTTATTGAATTTAGTATAATTGAACGCTCAATGTAATGGAGTCAAACAGAGGAAGGATTCAGCCAGTTCATGGAAATTTAGTCTTAAAAGTGAATGATACTTATTTAGCTAATCTATCATTATGTAGTAACGGAGTTTGTAACATATTTTAGCAATGAATTGGTTCTTCTACACTTAAATCCCACCACTGAATTAAAATTGGAGGGAAAAAAGAATGAGGGGAAACAGAAACCCATTTATTTAGTACAGTACATAGCAAATTTATAGTGAACATATTTCATGAAATAATACAGTTCATCACTGATTTGATAATTAAAATTTATGTAAGAAAAATTCACTATACAGAACTTTATTTAATAACAATCCTATTAATGAAAATAGGAAGCTCTATTTAACAGATCTAAAAAGACTTCTGAATGGCTGCAATATATGAGAAATATACCAGAGATAATGAAAGTTTAATTTAAATTATATAAGCTAAGAAAATAAGGATCTTGATACTTTGATTTCTCTTAATATGCAATACATCTTAATTCACACCTTGATGATAGAAAACTCTTAACCCTCTAAACAATCAAACTGTATATATATATATATATATATATACATACATTAAAATATTAGTTACATCTTTAAATGCACATAAGTGCATCTTAAAATGTGTCCAATTATAGTACCATATATGTTAGGGAAAAAAAGTACAAACTGGAAAGGTCATTTCAAAATTTCAACCAAGAAAATGTCACTTAGTCATTGCTTTTATTAAAAATTTAAGGGTTCAAGGCCAAACTCTTGGCTGCTTGAAGGGTTAATATGTTTTTAAAATCATGTGTGTAAAACATACCAGACCAGTTTAAAAAGTTTCAGCCTCACACTTAAATGGTACAGTACTAATAACTAAAAATTCTCGCATACTTAATAGTTCTCAAAATAGTAATAATTAACTCAAGGGTTTAACAGAATATAGAAGCTTGTTGCCATTATACCACTCTCTCTCTCTCTTTATTTATTTCTACTCAGCATACCTTATGCTGAACAACTGAAATGACATAATACAGAATTCTTAACTCTAGGTATATAAAAAAAAAAGAGAGGAAAAACTATACATGCACTGTACAAAATCATATCAATGATTTATATATTTAGACATGATTTTCATTTACAAGGAGAAACCATTTTTCTTAGATATTTTAGCAATGTTCATTTGGTTTTAAGAAGGATTTTTGAATCCCAACATTCATTTTTTCTTTAAAAAAAAATGATATTTTGTTTACTGCCTGACTTTTAAATCTCTGCACACTTATAATGCTCCATTAAAACAATTATCACAACAGTTCTCTCTTATTCCAAGGCAAGACAAATCTTCCACACTTTTTACTACATATAAATCAGCTAACATTTAACCTTCACTATTATTAAGGAAACAAACTGTATACATGAGATAGTAAAGCCAAAATTGAAAAGAGAAAAGCTTGATTAATAATTTAAGCCAACATTCAATCCCTACAAGAAAACTAAAAATGGTTGAGATGATGAATATGAGAAAAGGGAAAAATTACTGCAAGTTATATGTCACTGAAATAATATTAATTTCCTTGCATAAATAATATGCAAAACCTCTGTTATGATTAAAAAGTGCCAAAAGCACATATATATACAATAATATACCCTTGAAAGAGACGTTTAACAAAAATCCTTCTTTTGTGCTCAAAATTTTAGCATGTAAAATATTTTTAATTACAAAATACTTAAGAATTTCCCTCTCTAAAACATTTTATTTCAAAAGTTATTTTCACTATTAAAAAAAAAAAAAATCACTTTAGTATTACCTGCATCTGAAAATTCAGACATACAACCCATTTGAGTACCTCAGGCATACAAGACCTAGTTGTAACAATTACTTACATACAGAGGACAAAAATTTATATTTCATTTAAGTTTGGTTTAAGGAGATCACTGGTATACAACATATTAACATATCCTGTCTCAGCAGCAAAATCAACCAATCTTCTAAAACACGATTTCAAATTTTACATTAGAAAATAAAACACTCACTTTCATTCATTCAACATATTTAATACATTACTGAAAAATTTATTAAAAATATCTGTACCCAAAATCCAACTCTTCAGCTAAGCAGTCTTTCCTGCCTAACCTAGCACAAGACTAACGATTATAAAATGCAATTAAATACAAATAACAAATTAGTCTATGTACAAGAAAAGAGAATTCTGGCTAATAATTACAATAATAATTTCTCATAAAAAAGTTGGCACCAAATGGTTATAAATCTGACACGCAAATTCCTTGACTTAAATTTGTTTTTCACATCTAACACAACAGATCAATAAGCATATAACCATTAAAACACATAATTGTGTGTTATCATAAAAGTTAAATTTTAAATTGCTCAATATCTTGATAAGTTATAGATGTTTCCATGAACAAAATAAACTAAAGTTGAAATATGTTAAAAAAGGGCATAAAAATATTTCTAATGTAAAAAAAAAAAAAAACATTAATACACACAAAAGGGGGGGAGAACTGGCATGTGCAACTTCTAATTTGGATTCTTTTTTGGTATTCAATAAACTAAACTATCAAAGAGGTAAGTGAGAAAATACTACACTATTTCCCCTTTACTCTTTGTTTTGGTTGAGAAAGAAGAAATATCACTTCCTTCATATTAATGCAACTTTCTTGTGTTGTTCATGATTCTGAAAAAGTTTGCCAATTCATTTTAAAAAGACTACCTTGACTACACTAAAACAAATGCTAAATTAAAAAAATTTTGTGCACAGCAAAACTAAAGTCATATTAGGCATTAATTTCTAATGAAGCTTAAAACTTAACTTAATTTCTAATGACTGTAATATTTACCATAATAGGAGACACTTAAAACACTACAGTGCCAATAATCACTATATATTACTTAAGATTCCTTGACAGAAATTTACTTAAAACTTTCCAAGTGGCATGGGTAGTTTGAACAAGTTCAAATATTTACCTTCAATTTATATTACCTTAAAAAATATTTTGCTAATTAATGGTTTAGCTACCATTTTATGAAATTTTAGGCTATAAAGAGTAAATTTATACTACAATGCAATAACTGCTACCTAAGGATTCATACCCATGCCAATAAAAAGCTTACAATGCTTACGTAAAGTTTTCTCAACTACACAACACAAGGAAATAAACTGCAGCAACACTTAGTTAAAGTAATTACATTTTATGAAAACTTCTAAAGTACAAATCAACTATTACAATTTTTAAAAGTCTTATAGAAAGGAGGAAAATATTAATAAATTTTTTAAAATTTTATTAATTCCTATTAATATTCATTTCCAAAATTATTTTAATAATGAATGTTAAGAGGCCATCTTGATAAGAAGCAGCACAATATTACTGGTTATAGCAATGAATCACAGATTTCTTGAAGAGAAATTAAGTTTCTCTCAACAAAAAATTTCAGTATTACATAAAATTATATAAAAATTTCAACAATGAAACAGCCATGAACTGTAGATATGATATTTTAATGCCACACCTTACATCTTGCACAGAGCACATCTTAATTTAAAAACTTGTAACATAAAGTGACTTTAGTGCAGCATTACCTCTTAACCTGCATATCCCTACACCAATACTTAAATTCATACCTTTAAATAATTACAGACTTTTTGCAAGGATAAAAGTAGAATGTCTTTTCCACTGTAGGAATACATTTCAAGAAAAATACATGATGAAAATAATACTGAAAATATTCAAAACCAAATCAAATTATTACATTTATTTTACCTGACTAACTATGAATTCTGCAATTAAAAATACATTATATTACCATGTAAATTAGTATTATCCTGTTAATGCAAAAGAAATGGCAACTGGTATTTACAGTTTAATTGCACATTTTAGAAATTTTTATCCATAAAATATTTTGCTGGAAACATATAAAAATACTTTGCACTATATACTTTTCCAGTTATGAAAAGGAAAAGTTTTATTGAGTTAATTCCCAATGCAAAACTGAAAAATCACAAAAGTTACATTCCTTTGCACTTAAATTGGTAAACATATACCTTTTATAAACTTTTTTTTTTTTTTTTTTTTTTTTTTTTACAAACATATCAAAGGATACAGAATAAATAAAAATGTCCTGAACATATAAACACCTATTTTAATTATACATTAGCCAAAAAAAATATATATACAGAGTAAGAAAGTTATTCTAGTACCTTTTTTCAAAATGTTATATGCTAATGGTAAAACATAACTTTTCAAGAACAAGAGTAAGCTGCACAATGGAAATTTCCTTTAAATCACTGTTTTGTAGTTTAAATCTATGCAAAATGCTTAACAGTATTCAAACCCATAAAAAATGACCAAATGACTTTAATTCATATATGAGAACTATACAAGATTTTGAGTCAAAACATTTTTAATGAACCTAATGAAAAGGAAGCTAAGTTCATGCAATGGAAGCTTGTCCTTTCAACTGGCATCACCTAGAACAGCAATACAAAATTTCTATTCTTCAAACTCTTCAGTGGAGCTCAGTGCATGAAACAACCATGCCTTTTAATTTTAAGCACAGATTGAACTGGCCCCTCAAATAGAAAAATTCTTGTACAAATTTCAATATTTTCTTTTCAATTTTAACTATTCAGCAGTCCCCGAAAGCACAGGTCATCTCTGAGAATTTGGTTCTTGACCAGTTATACCTGCACGGGGAGTAGATCGGGTCCGTGATCGCATACACGGCATGGCGGACGGTAGAGGTACAGCAGCATGAGATGCAGCCACCATTGCTGCTGCAGATGCTGCAGGGGCAGGACCCCCACTTGCAGAAATAGCTTGTGTCATGTTCGCAGAAGCAGCTAGGTGGTGTGGTAAAGATCTACCAGTGGCTGGGCTGGCAGAATCTGGAGCTCCTCGCAAGCGACTACTGCTAGCTGTCGTGGGAGCTGGAAGTGCACCACGAGAGGTAGTACTCGTATGTTGATGATGTCGATCACGGCGATCTCTTTCCTCCTGCATTTCCTGTTTATTACGGTTACCACCCTAAAAATAAAAATATTTAAAATTTACTCTGTAAATATTTGCTTATATCATGTGCAGACTGACAAAAAGTTTTAAAAGATTTTGCATCATATTTAAGAAATAACAGTTCAATATAAAATTTGTAGATACAAATATATACTGTTATCCCAAATTTTATATTATTTGTTTTCATTAATTTTAAGTCATTAAAACAATTTCCAGGTTATTAAAGCAAATTACAAAAAGCAAGATACTTCAAAGGACATGATAAAAGAGGCAACGGCATTCAGCTACATTACAAAATAAAAATTATGGCCCAGGAACAGATTATTTTTAGCACTGCGCACAGATTCATTTTTATTCTTGGCCTTTAAAATTATGGCCAGAACTCCTAGAACAAAGAATTTTACTACAGCTGCAACAAGAAATTGATGAAAGCCTTTTTATGAGTGCTAAACAGGCCAATTTAATACAATATTTTAGCCTTATTACATCACCATATTTCTCATATCCTTAACAGAATGTATTTCATTAAATATGTTTAATAACATTTGATTTTACACAGTTAAAGGAGCCTAGTTTAACAAGTTAAAAATTTTACTAACTCAAAATTGTACGATAACAATAATTTTAATACTTTAAAACTTTTTTTTATAAAAATCCAAATATAGCCAATATTTAAGTTTCTCAACCTACCATGCTTTATAAAATATCACATTTGGTACTTACACGCGCATAACATCTGCACTTTAGTTTGATGTAACCCTGATTGATTTTTCATAAGCTACTTCCTTTTTTTTATGAACAATGATATAAAATTGTTATTGCTGCATTTTTGCCTTGTATTAAAAAAAGGGGAGGGGGAAGGTAAAGGAGATTAAAAATTTGGTCTTTTTACAGAACAGCAAGCAATGGATTATTCTCAAAGCTATATAATCCTATCGCAAAAAGTGCTTTTTTATGAATATTATGTGGTCGGCTAAATATGGCCAACAAAGCAATAACAATACGGAGAAATCACAAGTGGGAAGTTTATGCTCATAATATTCTACTTCCAGTAAACTGGAGAGCCTAACATAACAGTAGAAATTGACAAAAGCCCTTTTATGAAGTGTTAAAACGGAAGGGATCATAAATATTTATTTTTTACCAAAATAAAAAAAGCTTTCAGAATTCAGGAACAACTGGCGCAACTTTGGCAGAATATATATTACTTTTAGAGTTGATGGCAGCCAATTTCTGCAGCAGACCAGATAATATGTATGTGTATTATATATTAACTGTCTTTGTATATTTGCTGATAACATCTGAATGTAAGAAACAAGCTACACTAAATTTTAAATTTCAGGAAAACAAATTTAAACTGCCAGCTTCATATGATGGTTTTAAATACCTCATTATTGTTTCATGAAAAGGCAAAATAAAAATCCTCACACTAAATTCTCATTGAAATATTTAACACAGACACTCTCTTATGAACATTTGCAGATATGAATTATGTTCTCCAAGAGCGGGAAAAGATTCTGTAAAACCTAGATCCAAATTCTGAGGTGTTTGGTAAAGTGTATTGTGCACCATGCTATATAGTGCTATCGTCTTATTTACGATGAAAGCAAACAAAAACGAATTCAAACAAGTTTGAAAATTTACATGCTGACTTCTTCCACTTCTCATACAGGCTCCTCATTCTAATGTCATCTTTACTTGCTGACAAGTCAGCACAGGAAGATCCAGATACAGACTCACTCCCACCCATATAAGGATCTACTTGCCTCATCCTCACTTACCTCAAAAACTACAATTTAAAGTACATATTACATATAATAAAGTAATTATTTATTTATACTATATTGCATTTAAAATATATTTTTTTAGTGTTTTCAAGTATTTATAGCTCTTATTTCATAAACATTATTAACAGATATGTGTAACCAACCTAATAACATTTTATGAACTAATTCATGGCACAAATGTTCATTTGCAACTAACTCATTTGTAAAGCTGAGAAAAAGCCTATAATTTCGTATCTCTATTAGAGTACACAATAATTAATATAACAAATTAAACCAACACATAAAATATGCATTAACTTAAACAAAATTATAGATACGAAGGGGAAAAAATGCAACTTTATAAACAAAGAGAGAATTATGCATAGAGATAAAAACTTACAAATTTAAGCATATTCCAATCAAAAACATAATCATATGTAAATCCCTGTCGATGGAATAAATTCCTCAAAAGCTGCCGCAAGTATGAGTAATCGGGTTTTTCTTCAAACCGTAGAGATCTGCAGTAATTTAGGTAAGTGGCAAATTCCGCTAAAATATAAAGAATGAAAATCAAAAGGGAAACATGAAACAAGCATCATAAACAAATAAATAACCGAGCACATATAAAATTTCTCACCCACACAAGATAAATTATAAAAATTTGGGTGTAAATAAGCAAAGAACAGTAAACGCTAGAAATAGTTTAAGCTATATAACATATTTAGGAATAAATTACAGGACAAAAATAATTTTTTCTAACATATTTTCATTTCTTTACAAATAATGCTTTGAATTTATATGGATATTTTTTGGCCAAAATGGCATTATATCCATAGGATTTGAGAAGCATGTAGATTTGGTATTCTACACATATATTTTCTGCTTGAAACGGCTCTTTGTGCACCTGGATTTTAATTATATACACAGAATGCGAAAGGCACTCTGTTCTGGACTCGCAGGCATCCTGATTGCTCTTTAAATGCACAAGTGCATGTTAATAAATGTTATGAGAGATCCCTTCCCTGAGAATCTTTCTTTAAACATGTACACAGTATTTATTACTGATAAGCATTGTTGGATATTTCCCCCCCATCAAGCATTTGCTGTTTGGATTTGCAATCCAGTTTTTAATCAAGAATTATAACTTGCATATGTGAAATAATTTTGTTCTGAGCCTTGAAAATCTTTAAACAAATTATTTAAATCTTTATGTGAAGAACTTTCGGGTCAAGGGTACCATTTATACTGTGATATATTTTCACGTCTTCATCATTGGTGGATGAACTCTTTAGATTTGGAACAAATACTTGTGGGACTGTACTGAGAAGAAATGGAAATATTGGAAATATTCTGCCACCTAAAATGAAAATTGGTGAGATGTTGGTTTTGCAGAAAAAACTAAATGTAACTACTTTTAAAGATAGAGGGGAAGTACTTTGTTACAATGAAAGTTCTACGAAAGTTCGATGCTTCGTCTTGCAAAAATCCTCTAAAGTAAATGACGTATTATGAATGTAAGGACTGTAACATATGACTGTGCCAACTTCTGTTAATCATAATAAAAATAGACTTTAAGTAAAATGTTTGCTGTGACTTGTATAATATCAAAAGTCACGAAAACAGAAGTAAAATACTGAAAAATAATTAATGTGCTATATTAAAAATATTTAAATACACAATATAAGTAAGAAACATGCAAGTTAAAAATATATAAAGCATATAGACTCTACAGAAAATTACTAAACAACATGTTCATGTTTCCAACACTTTGTGGATTTAGTAGCAAAAAACCCCCAGCCCTGGAGATATCTTCACAAAAGTAACAGTTGGCTCCAGCAGCATACGTACTGTTGCACCTTTCATCCTGAAAGGGTTTTACACTAGAATGGTTAAACTGTTATTATGGTTAATCCAAAATAACAGTAGAAGATACTGCCTTCTTTACGAAACATGGACTATAATTTTGTTCATAATAATTAATGTACCCCCCGCTTTAGATAAAAATGTTTCCTGTCTAATACCAGATCAAATTCAGTTGTTTTATGAATCCCACTGAAAAAACCCCCCAGTGATGTGCATTGCTATGGCTCATTGCAAATATAAGGTTTAACTGAAGATTTATTTTTCACACCTCATTCTTACACAATTGCAATGACTTTACATTTGTATTGGGTCATCCTATTTCTGCTGTTTTTTTTTATAAATACAGATGAAGCAGTACAAAAACAATCTTCCACCACATAAGCATCATGTTATTGTATGACTTTTTGTCATCTTTCATGCAGTTCATTTGTAAATAAGTTAGAGATGCTTCCAGAGAATCTCCAAAGAAGTGAACGCTAGGTTGTTCAAAGAATTCCGAGGTGACACGTGAAAGACTGCACTTCAAAAATTGGTCAGTTCTGAGCATATGTTTTATCATAATCAATTCACTCAATAGCTTCAATTCACCCTAGAGCTTTCAATACTACTTGCGCATCTCACTTGCATCATTTCAAAAAAATTCAGAGCTATTACTTGCACACATGTTAAGACTTTGAAATGAAATACAGCTGCAGTTGTTTTCACTCCGATATAGAACATCGCATACTTATAAAAATAAATAAAATAACAAGAACCATATAGCTTGACAGAAGGTTATTAGGTACTAAAACAAGTTGGCACAATCAGCTGACAAACAAACTTGGGGACTGGAAGGGGGAACTTGTACTACTAGGATAACAATTATATTAAATTTCTATACAATACAAATCTCAGTATTGTTCTGTTATCAGAATTGGACTCAGAAATGTATGCATGTACAGATGTATGTGTTCATGTATGCATGTATATATGTAAGCACGGATGCCTGTTCGTACACATATATGCATTTCTGAATCCAACCCCGATAACAGAACAGTACCCAATTTTCTCTTAGAAATACAGAAAAGCAGAATATATTTACCAATAATTTCAAGGGAGAGAAAATTAATGATAAATCTAATTTAATCATAAAAATTCATTATACTTACACTGATTAATTACTTTGCAGTTAGTAGTGTTACACTGCGATTGGCCTATGGTAGGTACTTTTCCCTGTTTTATTTAATTATCCAAGTATTTCTCCTCCTATCAGCATGCATGTCTCGTAAAGTAATTGTGACTTTTCTTTAGATATTATCACACATTATGACCAGTTTCACATAGCTTTCCTGGTAGTATGATTAAATACTGTTTAAAATAATTCATGGCATCTTCTTCTGTTCATGATAAATCTTGGATTTTTAACTTCCCTGCCCCACAAGCATAATGAAAAAATGCAAATATCACACCAATTTCGTAGAGAAAGTAAACGTACTGATTTATTCAACGATTCAATAATGTATTTAATCATTGGCATAAAATTTCCAATTGTGAGAACATTTAAAGGGATGGCATAATATTCTAGTTCTATGCCAATGATTAGGTAAATGCACAGATTTCCAGTGGCCCTTTCATGTTTAGTTTGCCTCATGAAAAACTGCTCGAATTTAATTTCCTTTTGTGTATTCAAGAGATGATGTAACATGGGATTTGGCATTAACAGAAACCAACAAAGCTATCATTAGTTTCAACATGAAATTTTACCACACTGTTGTAAAAGCAGTGAAAAAATGACATCTGAAATAAGTTAAACAATGATGATGCACCATTTCAAACTGCTAGGGCAATACATATTCGCAAATATCAGTAAAATACAATATATTGACAAAAACTCAATGTTCAGATTTCCTTATAGGAAATATTTTCTTAATAATAATGAATGATTATGAAGAATTAAATTACAGAGGAATTACATTAACAGAAAAGAAAAATAGTTCAGCTAATGAGAAACCTGAAGGCACACTTACATGGGAATGTTCTACATAGTTCTTCAATAGGCGTGGACATCTTTTTCTCACTTATTCTTTCATACTTCTGCCGTTTTGTTGCTGCTCTTAGACCTTGCCATGGTAAGCTGCCTCTATTAAAGTACATCAAGACATAGCCTAAAGATTCCAAGTCATCCCGCCGACTTTGTTCTAAAACCAAAAACATACCATAGTGAGGAACAGACATTCATACAAATTAAATAATAAAATGTCATTGGTCAATATGAGCAAGTTATTTTATAATTATATCTTTTAAAATAAATTTCAATGTGAAAGATGCCTCACACATACAAATTAGCTAAAATAATTTTTTTTATTATGTTTTAATGTTGCATTTTTTACACATATTTTAAAATTTTAGTTTTTGAAGTTCATATTTTTATAACACAGTTTAAATCCTTATCACGCAATTTCTTTGTGAATGAATTTTGGAAACAGATGAAATACCAATTTCCATAACATCCTTGAGACTGAAAATTTATAAACATACTTTTGACTTAAGTATATTTTAATAACTAAATAATAATTAAAAAACTTAACACAGCATTACTTTAATTTTAACCAAATATAACACTGGGTTTTCCGAAGTAAAAATGAATTTATTCTCCTGTTCGAATTTTAAATTATTCAGAAATAAGAATTTCTCATGCTTCACACTTGTTAATAAAAACTAAACACAATGTGAAACTTGAATTTTTATTGATGAAAATTTTTTTTCTCTTCCCACTTCGCCTATCAAAACTCGAAGTATAATTGCACAATGAAATACAAAAACAAATATTTAAATCCGACAGTGTTCACAAAATTCCTTCATCATTACGCATCTACATTCTAAATTATTACATGCATATTTTTCTATATAATGTAAAAAATTAAACATGAATGTATGTACTTTTCTAGGGCATTAAAATGCTTATGTAATTTTATCTTAAAACATTATTTGCATTATTTTACATGTCAAGAGACAAACTTGAGATGGGGAACAGCTCTGTAAATGCATGATAATTAACACATCTTAGGTGGCTGTTTTCTCATCAAATTCTATATATAGCTGGCAATTTTTGTAACTATTGTGCAAAATTATCTTTGTTTCATGGCAAAACCAGGAGATTCTCCCGGATGTTTCTACTTATAATGTAAAATAAAGGTAAAAGAATTTTCTTTTTCATGAAAATAAAAGTCTTCATTAAGAATGAGTGCCAGATCTTCCATAACTGACGAAGTCCATCTCTTATCATTAATTTTGGATAAAACGGTGTTTTTGTACATGAATCTGTACAATAGTCATCTTTTCAGTCCTTACAATACTTCTCCCAAAAGAAAAATAAGGCCAAAAAATTTTCTTCACATGTCTTGTATTGTAATTCCATCTGAGGATCTTTTTGGGAGCTATGAATTTTTCAACATTTTGTCATACAAAGAATGAGGGGGGGGAATAATGAATAAATAAAGCTACCCCAGGCACTAAACTATCCAGAACATTTTCTGTACTTATTTCGGAGCAACCTAAAAACTCTTCTAAGACTGGTGGACTTGTCTACTGATTGACAACATGACCATTTTCCTTCAGAATCATCCAAATCCAGGCTTCAAATTCTTGGTCAGACAGAAGTCCTAGGACATCGTACAATTTTACCATCACTGGAATCATCATTAATAAGGTCATTTGCAAAGGAAATAATTCCGCAAACTATCTGTACATAATTCTTCATCATCACATTATATTTCTGTCTATTCTTGGCAATTTATTGTAAAAAAAATCACTGTCACCAAAAAACCCACTAAAAATTCTTAGAAAACAAATTTTGTTATCTCCTGCACTTTAATAAGAATTTGCACAAAACGAGTTTAGATGTTTCCAATATTTCACAAGAAAAAATTCCAAAATTTGCTGAGTCTCAAAAACGTCCTTTTAGTAGTATTACATATTAATAAAATTAAAAGTAAGAAAAACTATAAGTGATAGTTAGCTACCCAACAAAAACTGGAAAGCTATGAAGTGAAAACCAATTTTTTTAGAGCTCACATTTCTAAATTTTCGTAATTGGATGATCTTATTATGGGGAAAAAATCATGATCATATGTTGTGTAGCAAATTAACGTAATTAATCTAATTACAGCTAGCAAAATTTAATGTATTAATTACTCTAAATTTTACGCTAAACAACATGTATTTGTTCAATTAATTATTGGTATTGTTTGGTCATTAGCTAGAGTTATTCATTCTGGCTTGCATTCGAGATTGATTACTCACACAATGGATCTTGGTAAATTTTTACTTAATAAACTAGGATTTTCAAGACTTAAATTAAGTTTAACCCTTAGAATTTAATATCAATAGATGCAGAAAAATTAGCACTTTAATTTGGGTCTACTTTCATAATTCTACCTTTAATCAATTTTGAGTTATAACCATTTATTTAACGAAAACTGTTTTTCTTTAACAAAAAAGGGGGAAAGAAGCATTACAAAAGTTCACTTTCAACGAAAAAAATGTACGTTCTTTGGACTTGAAAAGCCATTTCCGGCCAGGGGAGTTTTATGGTTGCCATTCTGGGTCTCTTCACCTGTACAGGCTTGATCTTGTTTTGGTGTGATAATTAAGTTCTGGTTTAGTTCAATTCTCGGAAAAAAGTCGAAATTTTGAATTGTTTAAGGCGGGAGTTTTCAACAACTGATTTATTCACCTATTCGGGCAGGGGTTTATTTAAGGTGGCCGTCCCGTCATATCTAAAAGGAGTTGTTTTCGTGGAAATCTGCCCTTCTTGCATCACTTACACTTTTGGAAGAGCTGCTTTGCTTGACCTCTGTTCGCCGGAGGCTTACTATATGGATGCTGACTGTTTGCTGGGTTTTCGTGGCTTAGGCCCGAAAACTTTATGGCGTTTTTCAATGGCGGTAATTTCTCATAATAAATGCTACAATGCTTCTTAAACTTTAAGCATGCATCCACTATGTCTCCGAAATTAATCTACTGAAAGCGGAATGTTTTTGGCTCAATATGTTTTCCAACTTTAAACTACGTTACGAGACATCGAGGCTCTTCTTCACCTAGCTATATTATGTCTCTTCTAACATTTCTCCTACCCATGATCTCCAAGGAAAAACCCCAGCTGTTTGTGCAATCTGTTCTCACGAGGGATTCATCGTTCATCAAATTTTGGCTGCTCCTGTTGTATCCCGTGATCCAGAAGTGAATGTCAGGTATTCGCGCAAATTCTAATGCTGATGTGACCCGAGAGATTTCTCCAGCCTTTGTTTGTTCCTGCTAACAACATTAGTAATTGACCTTCCGAAGACCGGTTGGACCGTTTATGTTATTTTCAACTCAACTAGAATTCCCGTGCGCTATGGCTGATGATGGAGCTCCTGACTATGGACGGATCGTGGAAGATAAGTCTCCTTTCCTTTAAATTCATTTTCAACTTAAATTGATTACCTAAGTACTTGGTTGAGGGACAAATAGTTATCCTTGCCTTAAAATTTTTAGATGTTTCGTGCCTTTTTAAGAAAGACACTGAAACACAAGAAATTTAATTTTCCTAATTGACTAACCCAACTCAAAATTTAATAAGTCATTGCATTGTGTTTGATGTTTACTGGATTAACCCCTAATCTGTAGCCTGGTGAATGCATGGAGAAAGATAAAATAAAATCATACAATTAGATCTTCCAGTAAAAAAGAATGATTAACATAGGATATTTTTTAAACCTTGATTTTGCACTATTTCTATTCAGTTTACGTTTTCATATCTATTATAGTCTATTCGTAATTTGCATAGATTTTTGTTTTAACAAAGGTTAGTTGATAATGTTATGGTATAACAAATGTAATTTCAACAATATTGCACATATAAAAGTAATTAACCAAAAGAAAGAACAATGTTAACAAATTTCTAGGAGTAAACAAACTTAGAATTAACATTAACAAATTCTTGCCTACGGAATGTTTTCTTAAGTCATCTGAGACACTAAACGATTAACCTTAAATTAAATTAACTTTACAAATAAATAATAATAAATAAATAAAAAAAATAACTTTAACAATCTATTTAAGAACTCCCTTTTATTTTCCAATAGGTTCTAAGTTATCCGCTTGTACTAAAAAAAATGTTAAGGCAAGGATAACTATTTTTCCCTTATCCAAGTAATTAGTTAATCAAATTAAGTTGAAAATGAATTTAAAGGAAAGGAGACTTAGGAGCTCCATCTTCAGCCATAGCGCACGAGAATTCTAGTTGAGTTGAAAATAATATAAACAGTGATACCGGTCTTCGGAAGGTCAATTAGTAATGTCATTAGCAGGAACAAACAAAGGCTGGAGAAATATCTCGGGTAACATCAGCATTAGAATTTGCGGGAATACCTGACATTCACTTCCGGATCAGGGGATACAACAGGAGCAGCCAAAATTCAATGAACAATGAAGCCCTCATGAGAACAGATTGCGCAAACAGCTGGGGGTCTTTCCTTGGAGATCGTGGGTAGGAGAAATGTTAGAAGAAACATAACATAGCTAGCTAGGTGAAAAAGAGCCTCGATGTCTGATAACGTAGTTTAAAGTTGAAAAACATATTGAGCCAAAAACATTCCGGTTTCAGTAGATTAATTTCGGAGACATAGTGGATTAGAGCTTAGCCGATAATAATGAGTGGATGCATGCTTAAAGTTTAAGAAGCACTGTAGCATTTATTATGAGAAATTACTGCCATTGGGAAACGTCATAAAGTTTTCGGGCCTAAGCCACAAAAATCCAGCAAACAGTCGGCATCCATATATATAGTAAGCCTCCGGTGAACAGAAGTCAAGTAAAGTAGCTCTTCCAAAAGTGTAAGTGACGCAAGGAGTCAAGGGCAAGAAAAGAAGGGTGGATCCCCGCAAAAACAATCCCTTTTAGATATGATGGGACGGCCACCTTAAATAAACCCCTGCCCGAATAGGTGAATAAATCAGTTGTTGAAAACTCCCGCCTTAAACAATTCAAAATTTCGACTTTTTTCCGAGAATTGAACTAAACCAGAACTTAATTATCACACCAAAACAAGATCAAGCCTGTACAGGTGAAGAGCCCAGAATGGCAACCATAAAACTCCCCTGGCCGGAAATGGCTTTTCAAGTCCAAAGAACGTACATTTTTTTCGTTGAAAGTGAACTTTTGTAATGCTTCTTTCCCCCTTTTTTGTTAAAGAAAAACAGTTTTCGTTAAATAAATGGTTATAACTCAAAATTGATTAAAGGTAGGATTATGAAAGTAGACCCAAATTAAAGTGCTAATTTTTCTGCATCTATTGATATTAAATTCTAAGGGTTAAACTTAATTTAAGTCTTGAAAATCCTAGTTTATTACGTGAAAATTTACAAGATTCATTGTGTGAGTAATCAATCTCGAATGCAAGCCAGAATGAATAACACTAGCTAAAAAATTATTGTACAAGTTCAGATAAATAATTGACCAAACAATACCAATAATTAATTGAACAAATACATGTTGTGTAGCAAAAAATTTAGAATAATTAATACATTAAATTTTGCTAACTGTAATTAGATTAATTATGTTAATTTGCTACACAACAATATTTATGAGATACAATACACAGCATATTTTAAAAATTGCCAAATGCATTAAACATCTTCGAATTCGATTCATATATGTTTGATTAGAAAACTAACTTCTACAGAATACAGAAGCATACTGTAAGACAGATTAAATTACAGCATTCTGAACTACAGATTCTAATTGTAGATTTTTCATACAAATATAAATTCTGTTTTCTGTTTTTGATAACACTAAAAATATATATATATATAAATTCTGAATTTTTCTAGAAAGACCTTACAGCCTTCAAAATAAACTATTTAGAGCAGGTAGGAAGGAAACAGCAAAACTGATAATTCGACATACTTGAAACTTTGATATTGCCATGCTATTACACATGTACATGCTATTACACACAATAATACTATTATATAAAAATTTTATATAATACCTGGAGCACAAATTTATACCTATATCCACATTAATTCTGCATACATGTTTAAAAGTTGAAAAATACTAAAAAACTATACACAAATGACATGAAACTTTCTCACAAAATGAGTTTGGATGATTACTTACTTCTGTACCAACTTTTTTTTTTTTTTTTAAAAAAAGAATTGTACAGGAAACAAATATTTATTATTATACACTGCTACTGTGTTTTTCACAGCAAATTAAGAAATTTATTTTAATGCTTTGGTTGCCTCATTTTGAGTGATTATTACTTTACTTTTTGTAAGCTAACATAGACAGTTTACTCCTATTGCCACTTTTAAATAATTTTTCCGTAATACTCACATCTTCAATCCATTTAATAATTTTATTTTTTGAAAATGTGATTAGCAAACTATTCCAAAAACACCACTCAGTAATACACAGTGATTTACCACAGAACTATGAATATTTTCATAATATTTTGTGCTGAGAACTTAGCACATTATTGATTCAGCACATGTAAGACCCTCAGGCAAGCAGAATTTAGGAATTTATACATGCACAATAGATTACCAGACCTTCATTGTAATCTACAGAGAAATGACAAATCACATTTTATTAACACAGAATTAAAAAAAAAAAGAACGGGATTAAATACATAGGTTGCAACATTTTCAATAACAATATGTTGCATATTAGATTTTATATTGCACCTAAAGGGACTTTTTTTTAACGTTTTGTGTTACCTTTATTTACTAAATATCATGTTCTTTGTACTTAAACCATAAAATTCAATTGAACAGCAATATTGCAAAGTAATTTTAAATTGAGCATATCCGATACAGTCTCGTACAATGGAGACAATCTCCCCGTACAGCGCTGCCACTATTCACTTGGAAATCTTGAGTTTTTAATCAAAAATTCGTTGAAGTGTTACAAAATACGAAATCTATAATAAAACAAATTTCGTATTAGAGCTTCCACATGTCCATAGTAACGCAAGAAACATACATACATTTATGCAGATTAGTCATTTTTAACTTCTTTAAATATAACACAGGCTCTAATATTTGGTGGGAACAATTTGAAAAGTAAACTATCAATGGAAAATGCCAAAACGAAATTAATAGCCCTTCTGGGCAAAAGCAACCCCTTCGGCTAAAAAGCAACAGAATTAAAAAAATTCCACAGAAACTAATATATATTTCTTTCACAAAACTTAAACTGAAGAATAACAAAACAAGAGCAAGATATGATAGCGACTCTAGCAAAATGCATTCAGCTACATTTCAAATGAACCTCCAAAAACTGCAAAGAATCCTTACTTAGTACAAAATTCATAGCTACTGACCCTGAAATCTGAAGAAACTGGGAGTTTTCATGCTGTGTGCGATGTCATTTCAAAGACTCTCTAAATTAACTTAAATCCACTTGTTAATGCATGATTCAGGTTAATAAATTATTTACAAAACGAGTCTCATTATAAAATATATTAATAAGATATTTTAAAAGCTGTTCCCTGGCTTACTTTATTTTTTTATATCCTTATACTTTTATACTGAGGAAATCTTGAGTCTGAAAGAAAGCTTGAATTTACCAAAGCATTTTTAAAATGATAAAAATAACAGAAATAATTAATGCACATAATATTTGTGTGGATAAATTTTATAATGTACCATATATTGAAGTAAAACAAAATTAAATACAAATATTTACTGATTTTAAAGTTCCTCGAATCTTAAAATTCTACAAATGTTTACAGTTGATTTAGACAATTCAGATCAAATGAAATTTTAACATGAAAAATTTAATAAAAGAAAGATTACAATATGTGTTAAGAAAAAAAAAAAAAAAAATAATACAACTCAGATGAAATAAAATTTAATAGGAAAAATAATTCTGAAATTCACTAGAAGTGGAGGAACACATTTGTACAATTTCATTAATTCCAGGCAAACATTTTCCTTAGTAAAAGTTAAAAACCAGGAGATTTGCTGATATACAGGAAGTATCCCAATATAACCAGGAGAGCTAGTAGCTTATGCAATGTAATCTTTCTCCGATCGCAATTTGAACTTGGTAGTTTAAAAACCAGCTACACTTGTTTGGTGCTGTAAAGTATGAGCATAATTTAAAATACTTTTACATAAATAACATCCAATAATCCAATATTTCTTTTCAAAGTTATAGAGATTAGAAATATAGTATATCAAGAGCTGTTTTTGCAACTGAATCCAACACATGCAATGGAATTGTAACATAGACATAAATAAATTTAGACAATGCAAAATTCCACTATTTGAACATATCATGTTAAGGAATCTTTTTGCATCTTACAATGATATAAAAACTGGATTCACGTTTTAATTCGTAATTTAGGTTTTGAATTCAAAAAATTAGACTAAAAATTACCACACTAAACTCAATTTTTTTTTATCAATCCAATTCCCCCGGGCATTTTGTTTTTTGCAATTTAAAAGAATTTATATCAAACACACTACGTCATGTCTTTCATATGCGGACAATATTGATCAACTTCTGCAATGCATCCTGCATCAAGGAAATGGCCAGCCATTAAGAGTAAAAACATACTGACATCATATCATACGAATGCAAACAATTTTTCTTTTATGCTTACTGTATTTTGCATTGGTTGTGAAGAAAATAAAAAAATACATCTTCAATCTCATTTAATCAAATAAATTCAAAGAAAAAAATATCGCTATAGCAATTAACAACATCTATATTTTGTAACTCTGCATTACCATACCTGCCAACCTCTAAAGATAAAAATTCAGAAGATTTCTCCAAAATTCAGAAGAATACAAAGAATTAATATTAAAAAAAATAACAATTTATACAAATAGAAAAAAGAAAATTGTGCTTACATTAGTAAATTTCAATTAAGTAGTAACTAAAAAATTTATTAGGAAACATAAAACAAGAACTTAATGTTACACAAAAAAATTATTGCAATGAATTTAGAGTGCATTTTTTGGCTTTAGCCAAAAATTCTTTGGAAAATTTCCTGTCATAACAATTAGTTTCCTCGTAACATTTGGCAATTAAAATGTTTTTCTAGAGTTTTTGGTGAAATTGAAGAACGAAACATAGTTTTGTTTTTCTTCACAACACTGAAGACTCTCTCGCACTCAGCATTACTGTGTGCAATTACGAGAATAGCACATAAAACTCTAGCTAGTCTATCATATTTTGCTGTTCCATAAACTCTTTTTAAGGTACCAACGAGGACATCAAGCCTATCTTCTCCAGAACTGGCAAAGTCTTCAAACTGTGCAGCAGAAAATTGGTTCTGTAGTTCATCTAAAGCATCATTACGGCATTCATTTTCTTTAATTGTTAACAAAAATGGAAATTTATAAATAAAAAACCGAATCTTTTCAAAAGTTATTTCATTTGAAGGATTCTTTAATTGTTGGAAATTCGGCTTTGTAGGCAGGCTGAAAATATTGAGAATACGTTTTTTTTTTTTTTAAACTCATTTCGCAACAGCGACATATTAAGAAAATTCGTAGCACGTGCAACCAAAATAAATAAATAAAAAGAATGCGACAATCCACGCTCGCTGAGTAATTCCCTTGCTGCTGAAGCAAACGCGAAAAAAAATAATCTGGCACCCACAAAGAAAAGAGTGGGAGAAACAAGTTCTGTGCATTGGATTGGCTGGTTAAGCGGTGAGTTGGGAGAAACCGCAGGTTCACTGGATTCGAAGTAGTCGGTAGCTGGCGGTAAAACACGATGCAATTGGCGAAAAATTCTAAAATTTCGACAAAAATCACTAAAAACACTTGAAAAGAAAAAAAACGTAAAAAATGGATTACGATCATAAAATCGTAAAAACAAACGCATTTTCGTAAAAATTACGAAAAATTCATAAAAGTTGGCAGGTATGCATTACACACAGTAAGACCCAAAAATTAATTTCATTTAGAAGCTTCCAGTAATCTATTTTACCCGACAGTCAAATTTTTTCTTTAAGTATTAAAAATAAAGACAAAACAATTGTTTAGTAAAACATACTTAATTAAAGATCTTAATTTGATGATACTAACCAATTCCTAGATGTGTATTTATACTTGCATATCTTGCTGTGCCTGTGAGATTTTTATTTTCTCTGTAAGGAATATGCAGATGTGTACGAGAATCACGGTACTTTTTTGCTAGTCCAAAGTCTATTATGTACACTAAATTGCCTTTTTGGCCAAGTCCCATTAAAAAATTGTCAGGCTTTATGTCTCTATGGATAAAGTTTTTGCTATGAATATATTCTATTCTACTGACCTGAAAGCAAAAAACACAATGTTATAGAACATGTCAAAAAATTACACTTCAAATGAAAACACATCATAGTTTTCTCAAATTACTATTAAACAAATGTACTGAATTAAATTACACACAATGAAATAATATTACATGATATACAAGGTAACCAAAAAGATTCTTGCCATTTCTGATATGGAATGAAGTGGTTAGGACGGGAGTCCGGACATTGACCAAGAGTATAAAAATGCATTGCATCGGTACTTCAAACATAACTCGCACAGCGACTGATTGAAATGGACTCTTTATGCATCGCTCAAAGACGCTCGTTCAGAGTTGTTTGCTGTATGATTTTAAAGTAGGCCTGTCAGCAGCAGAATCAAGTAGCCAAGTTCGCCAGGCCTTTGATGGATGATGCCGTTAACGAACGAACCGCTAGGCAACGGTTCCAGAAATTCACATCATAGGATATGTCTCTTAGTGATGCACCACACAGCAGTCGGCCACAAACTCTGGACGATTGAGGCCCTGAGAGCAGCCATACAGAGTAACAGCAGCCAAACATGTGATGAGCTTGCTGCACACTTCTGATGAAACGATCAGACTCTATTTGCACCACATAGGAAAGGCATACAAGCTGAGCATGTGGGTACCCCACTCGCTGTCCAATGCACACAAGCAACAAAGAGTCACTGCCTGTTTGTCATTGCTTACTCGGTACCGCAATGCATCCATATTTGATCGAATACTCGCCAGTGATGACGAATGTGTCCAGTATGACACACCCAGGCGTTCCAGACATTGGTTGTCACCACGGGGCACTGTGCCTCGCACTGCAAGACCTTCCCTCTACTCATGCAAGATCATGCTCGTATCTGGTGGAATAGTCGCCAAGTGGTGCACTATGAGCTCCTGCCACTGGGCCAAACCATCATGGCAGGCATGTACTCGTAGCAGTTGGAACGTGTGCATCAGACACTGATTCATAAAGAGCCAGCACAGGTCAATCATAGGGGTGTACTCCTCCATGATAATGTGAGGCCGCATGTGGCTCAGGAGGCCAGGGATACTATTCAGCAAATGGGTTGGGAGACACTACCTCATCCACCATACTCCCCAGACCTCGTGCCAACAGACAACCATCTTTTCCATTCCCTGAGCAACTATTTTCGTGGAAATCCTTCAACAACCGGCCAGACCCCAAAAAGGCCCTCACAGACCTATTTGTGCCCATGACTCCCGAGTTTTACCGCAATGGCATCACACAGCTAGCTACTCATTGGCAAAAGGCACTGGATGCCGATGGTGATTATTATTTGTTTTATGACTTTTTCTTTCTGACCTTCCAAAACTGCAAGAATTTTTTTGGTTACCTTGTAATATTATATAAATTCTGTATGTCTGTCCCTTTCATTTAAGAAAATCGGTGCAACCTAGAGTTGCCAAATTTTGTACACACATTATTATGCACCTAAACACATGTGCTCTCACTCTAAATCCAAATCTTGAAATTGTTTTGTGCAAAATGAAATTTTCATCAACCAACTCAGTAATGTAAAAGCAATGTGCCACTGCAAGAGAAATACAAATTTCAAAATCAATGTAAACTTTTTTATACGTCAAAACTCCCCCCCCCCAGTTTCAGCTCATTAGAGTTCAAATGTACATTTTATTAATAGATTTAATATGTTTAAGAAATTAGTTAAATTTTACCATATATCATGAAAAAGCATTAATATGCCTAAACAAATGAGCTTTTAACAATGGACGTAAAATACTTTTTTAGCTTCAATAATAGCTTAAACAGATATTAATTCACTTTTAAATTTTAAACCACTACTATCATAATCATAATGCCAAATTCATTTACATAGACATTTTAACATCAAACTGTATTGCATTACCAATATACGACTAATATCATTATACATCATTTCATTAATTTAGGACAAATTATTTATCCTGATGATATCAATGTAAACAAGCAAAACTGAAATTTTCAATATTTAAAAATTATAAAAACATTTAATTTTAAAAGTTTACACAGAATTAAATGAAATGGAAACATATTAAATGAAGCAATGAACTGCAAGTATAGGTAGCCAGTTCACCTATACTTTAATCACTGTACGCAATTCATACACTTTTCTGGTGCTTTAGCATAAACTTTTAGTTTAAAAACAAAAATTTTTAAAAGCATTATGTAAATGTTAAAAAATGCAGACAAATACTTACTAACTGATCAGCTAATAATAATACCGTCTTTAAACTAAATTTCCGGTTGCAGAAATTAAATAAATCTTCCAAACTTGGTCCCAGAAGCTCCATAACCATCACATTATAATCTCCTTCAGAGCCACACCATTTGATGGTTGGTATTCCAACTGCAAAGTCAAAATTACTTGATTTAATTATTACATTTACATTACTAAATAAATTACAAACATACTAAATTAATGGAAATACTGGATTAAGCTGCTGAATTATAACCCCTTTTTTTGGGGGGGGCATTGAGAAAAAATTAAAAACACGAGCTTGCTTACATGACAGCTGAAATACCAGAAAATTCCTCCAAACATCATCAGCTGTTACATAATACTTTTCGTCATGTTATTAAAAGTAATGCAAAATTACATGATATATAGTAAACGTGATTCAGTTGGCTACTGATTACACAGCAAAGGGTTACTGTTCTCTTATCAGAGACTGAATCCAGAAATATATGTATGGATGTATGTGTTCATGTATACAAGTAGGCACAAATGTGTGTGACACATGCACATACATTCATACATTTCTGAATCCGATCCCAATAACAGAACAGTACCTAGTTAAGTATATAAAAGGCTATTTGCATCCAGTAAACCTTCATAAAAAAGATTCTTAAGCAGATTTTTAATGTAGCACAGTAAAAGAATAAACGAGAAGAGAAGGAACACAGACAGCCTGCAACACCATACTCTCTATTTTTGCTGCTTAACTATGTAGAAGTTACAAATATTTTATCAGCACAAACAATGATCTTCAGTTTCATGGCATACTAGATACTTTACATAAAATTCTGGTAATATTACATTTAAGGAATTACATGAAAACACACCCATTTAATTACAACCTTAACATAAACTTAGAACCAACAATCTTTTTTTTTGTTTTAGATTTAAGTTGCCAATGAAATAATAGCTCCATTTTTTGATAACCCTATGGACCTAACAATTTGGAAGTTGCCCAAGGATACAAAATCTACAAAGACATTTTTCAAAGAAATTGCATCATTTATGATAGAAAATTATGCTCAAAGAATCCCGAAATGAGACTGTGTTTTATCAGTAACTCAACAGTAAAATGGTGCTGCAGGAAAGAATCTTGTAATGAGAAGAAAGGATAAAAAACACAAAACTGGTTCAAAGGATCAAAAATCCTCTTTCTTACAGACATAAAGTTCATCCACTTTTGGTGTAAGGAGATGAACTCTATTGAATTTTTTTAATTCCAGCTGAAGTTGAACCACAATACAACTCTGCGGCAGTCATAGTCACAACGTTGAAAATCAACAGATACGTGAAGATTATTGAAGTTCATTTGAAGAAAGAACAATGCTTTTTTGTCGCTGTTATAAATCCAATCAGCAAAAACTTTATTAAATGTTATAAAGGAAAATATCACATAAAGAAGAATTATATCAAGTACTGCAAAGTAGTGAGATATTTGAGAGACGCCGGCTTTGAACATTTTAAACCACAAATATAACTTTGTGGATTCTGAAAATGGCTGTTGTAAACAAAAACACAGCAGCTGTGGGACTGCTAAATGGTGTAATAAATGACATCAGGAAACTGCTGAACAGTACCCTTATTCTTATTTGTCCGAATGTGGAGATGTTTAAGCACACATACGAAAAAAAATTACACGCAACATTTAGAAACAGAAAACATTATAGGCATTGCATTTACTTTCACTTATGTTTAGCCACTTTATGGATTGTGATAAAAATTTAATATATGAAATTAACATTTTACATAAATTAAAATAATACAGTTATTTACTATTACGCTCCCTTTCCTTCTCTAGTTAAGGTTACCAAAATTATTTTTAGAATCACTGGTGTCAACAATAGTTTGGCAATTTTTGTACGGTCCTGGCAATGGAACTATACCAAAATTTTGGAGCTATAAAAAAAAAAAAAAAATTACTTAAGAAAAAGTATTATTTACATAATCATCACATCATGGAATCTTTTCCTTGCTAGTTGTATATTAATATTTTCAATATTAAAATATCCTGATATGACATGACCACCACAAAAATAAATGCGATAGAATTCTTTTATATACAGGGTGTATCAGTACAGCAGTGACAAACTTTTAGGGGAGATAGAGCAGATCTAGATAATAGGAAATCACATAGCAATGCATGGTCAGAAATGCTTTCCTGGCGTGGTAGTGACGACACAAAAATCAAGAAACAAAGGACACGAACGAGGGTGAGAAAACATGTTTATTATTCGGAATACAGCAAAAACAAAGAAAAAACAACATAAAGAGACAATGATCATCATCAAAGAAGGTGTTTGAAGTTGGTATCTGCTGTATTAGCATAATAAAACATATTTTGTCTCACTGTTTGTGTCCTTTTTTTACATTTTGTGTCGTCACTAATGTACCAAGAAAGTGTTTCCTTCCATGCATTGCTATATGATTTCTCATCATCTAGGTATAGTCTCTCCTGAAATTTGTCACCACTCTACTCGTACACCCTGTATAATGAACAACACACTATTTTAATATAATATACAAATTTCAATAATGCAGCATGCAATGTACCACTTTCAGTTAGTTATTTTAAATGGCATCATTAAAATAGTTGTTTTAATAGTTTTCTTCCCCATCATTTTATTTACACATTCAGATATGAAAGCTATCGAACTTTTAATTTTATGAAGCTTACTGAATTATAAAGCAACTGAAATTTGGAGAACTACACTATAAATGCATTCTCACAAAATAAAAGTGGTGACTGTTTCTGGCCATGCTGACCAAATATGACTGAATGATTAAAAAGGGGCTTGCTCCTGCTTTGTTTTGCATAATTGGAAGGAACTTAAATTTAATGGAATTAATAGGATTGCTGGAATCATTTCCATTTATGCATTTTTAACTACTTGTACTCATTTTAATATTTAAAAATACTGTTTTAGTGGCATCATTCGAGATATAAATAAATGAAAGCAATAGTTCACATACCTAAATTTCTTAGTCCAAACATTTTAGCATTACACATATTCAGTATCTAATAGAACTAGTAAATTTCAATTAAAACCAGAAAAGCATATACTGACTTTTACTATTGTGGCAATTACTTAAAAATAGCTATAAACTTACCGAAGCGTCATAAATACATGCTTCAGTAAGTTTGTAGATATTAAGTTATTTATAAAAAAATTATATAGTAATAGATTCACCCACATCTAGTTTTAACTTTTCCTACAAAATAATTTATTCACTAAAGACAAATGAATTCCACTGCTACTATAAAACCCAAGAATTTCTTAAAATGAAATTTGGGAATTATTCTTTCAAATTAAACAGCACTTGCAGGCAATATCACCACAGCACAAACAAGAATTACACCACCTTCATGTATAAAGTTTTATTTAGCCACCCAGATGCTATAGTGGTTATGGAAGACTACTGCAATACCGAAGGGCCCGGGTTCAAATCGTGGAGAAGGCATAGCTGTAACTATATGTCCCCTTCAAGGGAAGCAACAGTGGCCAATGCTGAATAGGTAAGTGCCTGCCAAATGTATATGCATAAAAATCTCCCTATTCCCCCCCCACAATTTGATCCTTATCAGGATAGGGAGATTCTAACAACCATTTTTTCAAACCTTGAATCCAAACTACATTAGTCTATAGCTACCAATGATATCAAGTGATTTTAGTATTCAAAGCTGATATCCATTTATGCCATCTAAAAATACCATTTCTAAAGGTAAGGTTCCTCATATCAGAGGTTTTACTGAATTTGCGACATAAAAATAGCAAACTGAATTGAAATCAATTACCCCCCCCAAAAAAAATGTTCTTTTCAATATGAATTTTGTGTTTCCAACACCAAACAATCCTCAAAACTTTGATGCCATATTTTGAATATCTGTTTGATGTTATCCAAAACTGGAATTATTTCTAACTTAGATTCTGAAAGGCCAGAACTTCAATATGATTAAGCAGAAAAAAGATATCGATAATGTATTCAAGGTTGTAAAAATGTTCATTAATTTAAAACATTATTTTATACAGAACTTCATTGAAATTTAACAAATGGTAGCCAAATTCTATGGAAACTATTTGGCTTAAAAATGAAATTGAATATTCAGTATCCAACCAATCTGACATTTGTTACAACTCTAGTTTCATTCAAACTAGACTCCCTGTATGCTTTAAAACATTTTGTAAAACTTCACAGAAAAAATATGTGCAAGGGGGAAAAAAACAAAACACAGCTGATTGCACCCCTTGGCGGTACATGGATACGGACGGAGTTCGTGCAATTCTTTGATTTGTTATTTTGGCATGCAAGGGCAATTTAGCGCCCAAAATTGCCACTACACAAAGCCCCCCCCAAAAAAGACAAAGAATTGCACAAAAATGGCATTGTGCACTTCCTGACTTACCCTGTGAATTGACCTATTTCATTAAAACAAATATCAAAGAATTGCACAAACTATGAATTGTGCACTCTCTAGACTTTGACCATGTACACTTCAAACTATATTATTCACTTAAAAAGCAAGAAGCCACCAACATATTATATATATATATATATATAATCTTAATAAACTACATTTTAAATCAAGCAATGAAATAACATAAAGGAAATTCATCTTTGCACTAACAAAGGAAATATCCACTTACCTTATTTATGAATTAACACATCTTCAGTCGAAGAAAATTCTGTAACAGCATCCAAAAATTTCCTAAAATTATCTGAACTAGAATTTGCATAACTGGGCGTTCGCTACATAAATTCACAAAATAAGAGTAAAAAATATCCGTCTTAGCGTGGCATTGTGCAACTATATGCATTTCTTTTCTATAAACAGGACGCTTAATAATGGCTACTAAGTAAACCTTCATTTACAATCAAGTAATGCTTTTTTACGCCTTTCTTTCCAAATTGTACAGAACCTTCAAATTAATCTTACCACATTTGTATTTTACCATCTAAACCAGAAAACAAGTAATCTACTTCTTAACCAACACACACAAGCCCTTACGAATTTACAGCAATCATGCAACCGATTATGTCATAATAGGGTTTCCATAACATTCAACTACTCAGGCTACCATAAATAAAACAACTTCACAATAATACAAGGGGTACCTTTCTCTCTACTCTAACCAATGACAAATTTTTATGAGCTAAAAGTACACTTATAATTACTATACTTTCATGCGTTAAAACAGACTGCAGTGAAAATGGTAGACTGGCACTGCATTTAGCTATCAAAAATGAGAAACTTAATAATGGTTAGTGATGCTTACTGCCGAAAGGGCCTGGATGTTTGAAAATGTATAATACTATGTAGCAAGGTAGTACTCGATGTACATGGAGAGCAAGAGGGATCTCTCGAGTGGTTGCTGATAGGAAAGAGGGGTGAGAGACACCCCAGACCCCATGGCAGTATTCTCTCTCTAAATTGAGATGAAGCTGTACAGTTAGTGCGGTGGGACTACACTTGCATAACCAATGGCGAAATTCTGGTATCTCGTCTATTCGTATATTTACCTACATTTGACAATTGAAATTTGCCCCTTAAAGATTAGGCAATATTTAAATTGCTGGCAGGAGGCGAAGAGAATTGGCATGCCAGCATTTTACACATTAGTATGCGTTATTTAATATTACAAATAGAAAAGTGGTTTGGATTTATGGCAAAGGCTTGTGAATTGACCATTTTAATAAGGAAGTTCTTTGAGAACTTTCCCGGTGGCCAATATTTCTGAGACTATAATTCAGTAACAGTATTCAGTACTACTGGCAGTTTTATTCCCTATGAAAGCCACCTCTAGAAGAGACCAATGCTGTATCTCATTTGACATAGGTATCAGTATAATTAATCTTTTTAAGCATTTAATTAAATCATACTTTAATTGATTAGAGTGCACAGTAAAGCACACAAGGGCTAATTACTTAAATAGAGAGATGACTTTATGAAGGACTTTTAAATGGAAATTGCACATATTCACACAGAAAAAGACAAAACTTCATGCAGCCAACCTGCTTAAAGGTAATACAAACTCAAGTCAAACTGCCAGTCAGTAGCAATTTCACTGGTCAGCCATATTGAATGGACTCAGATTTTCTTCTATTCTACAGTATGGGAAAATGAATTACGACAGAAAAAGTTCTTTAATTGAAATAATGGTTTAGTGTACTTCCGTAACATTTAAGTATCAACGAAAATTCAGTTGATACAAAGCACATAATGTTGCCTGAATTTAGCATAGGTACTTTTTTGAATTTCTGAATGAAATCCCTATAATTCTATTTACAATTTAACAAACCCAATGAAAGCAGCATAATTCACATAAGAAACACACATCGGCATGAACTGAGAAAATGAAAAATGTTCAGTTTCTTGAAATGTACCAAGCTTACAGAATTAACATTTCAAATCAATAATCCGAATTTCGTGAGTTACAACACTTAACACTGTAGAGTATTTAATGTTAGCCATAAGGAGACTGACAATATACTATCACATATTTCATGTATTATATAATAATATCACTTTAAATAGAAGTTTCCCTTATAAATAAACAATCTTAGTGAAAGAGAAGGGGGAAATGCAATGCATTTCAGATTATTCATAACAGTTAATGCAAAAATAGCCAGAAACCCTGATAATTTCAAAATGGTACAAAACAAATGACACTTCAGAAGTTTCAAAGGAACATAGCACAACATTTAAAACTAGATTTATTTTAGACAAAGAAAATTAAGATTCCCCCCCCCTCCAATTTCATACTCATTTTTACCAAGATCCCACATTTCTCTTTCTTCTTCCAACAATTTATTGAAAGAATTTTTAAGACTGAAAATCTAAATGTCACTATCTCACAAAGACACTAGTCACAAACATTCATGCAGGATTCAGGAGCCATCAACCTTCTGTAGTTACCATACAATCCATTAAGAAAATAATAAAATTTTCAATCTTATTTTACCTCTGAAAAAAATCTACTGAAAGCTCCCCTCTACTATAATTTTGATGAAGGTAAGGATGTCAATTAAGACACATTGGCATTCATTCCAACAATATGGCAAACACCGCATAAAAAAATGATTAAAATTCATCTAAAAAATATATTCACCCTTGCAGCCTAATAATTTGTCTACACAATGTAAAGCTGCCATTTCTTCATACTTCCTCTTTCAATTTCACTTTCTTCAATGGTTCTTCCTGAATCACAAAACTCGGAGTGCTCTGGCATGATTTAGACTTTCACCATCCTTGTTACTCTACAGCCACTCTTAAATGGTGTCTTCATTTTGAAAATCTTCAGCACTAGAAATTATTTCATCTATGCAGATACCATTCTCTCTTAAATAATTAACTTTTATATATATATATAATATACATAAGGGATTAACTTAACTCAAAGTCTTGGGAAAGAAATTTATTATAGCATAAATTATGGGTTCCTTCAAAGAACTTACATGGGTAAAAGTATATTTTAGGGTACCCCTTGGCGATTTTTGGTGGTACATAGATACCGAGTTTGTGCAATTCTTTGACTTATTATTTTGGCTTGCATAATGGCAATTTTTGTGACAAAAATTACCGCTATATAAAGCCAAAAACACATTGATCCATTTTCATTAAAAAAAATTCCCGAATATCACAAAAATGGCACTGCACACTTCCTTGAATTTATCCATGCACACGTCGACCTATTTTCACTTTAAAAAAAATCCAAGAATTGCAAACTTGCATTGCACACTCCCTTCACTTTGTACATGTACACATTGATATATTTTCACTTAAAAAGTCAAAGAAGCACCCAATTCTACAATACAGGAAAACAAAAAATACAGTCTCAATAAACTACATTTTACATCAAACAATAACATAAAAAAGGAAAAACATGTTATACATTTAAGCACTACAAAAAGCAAATATCCACTTACCCTATTTAGAAGTTCCTTTGTTTTCAGTCTGTGGCACACAAAATTCCTTAACAGCATCCAAAAACTTCCTAAAATTATCTAAACTTTAATCCATATACTGGCATTGCCACACCTGAACCTTTCTTCCTACAAACCCATCCAAATCCATCAAAACAGTTTTTACGTTTGACTAGACACATATCCTTCCTACATACAGGACACTTATAATGGCTATTAAGTAAACCTTCATTTAGACACCAGTCAATTAACGCTCTTTTCCCTTTTCATTCCAAATCGTACAGAAACTTCAAATTAATCTTATTACATTCAGACATTCTACCGTCTAAACAATAAAACTACCACAAAAGTGCTTACAAAACATCCCACGATTCAAAATTTCCCAGAATCATGCACCCAATTATGTCACAATAGGGTTTCCATAACATTCAACAGCCTAATCTTTGGAATATGGTAACAGGTAGTTTGGCAACATTTTGGTAAAGCGATAAAGGTTAATAGGAGTGTACATGGATAAAGTCAAGAGTGCGCGCACTGCCATTTTTGTGCAATTCTGGGATGTTTTTTTAAGTGAAAATAGGTCGACGTGTACATGGATACCGTGTATGTACAATTCTTAAAAATGCGGCAAGCAGTTTGCGATTCTGCACTTTCTCCCAATTTCGCAACTAATCTTTGTCATGATTAAGCACTTTTGTTCCATAAAAGTTCTAGCATAAGCGTAATTCGGTTAGCAGATTGCTGGAAAAAAATGTTGAGTTAAAAACAAACAAGGACAACTATAAAAGTCTGATATTACACACATGACATTTAATTTGAAACACTGATAATTTATGGCAAAATATATGCATCACCCAATAAAAAGATATTCTTAAATACTATAAACTACAAAAGTCTGAAATGGCTTTCATAGTTTACAGTCAATCATATTATCAATTAAATGGCATGTGACAATGCAACAGCTATTTAAACTACCCATATGCCAAGAAGAGACATTAAAATAAAAGAATCTACATTTAATTATTACATCAAATTAATGTATGATTGTAATCAATGTGAAACACTTATAAACATCTCTTTACTCTTAGATTTTATAAAGCTGAATGATTCAATTTATATGTGATTAACCATACTTTGCATTCTACATAAAATTTTTTGGAATGTAAGAATTCCTATTAAACTATTTTGATAAAATTAAATCAGTAACTCATAAGCATACCTCCACCCTGCATCATTCTGTAGAATTTGCTTTCTATATGTAGTTGTGGATGTTTAGTTTTCACACATTCCAACTTGATTGCAACTTCTTCACCAGTAGTGATATTAGTCCCTTTAATTAAAAGAGAAATATAGGTATATCATGATAGTAAGTAAGCATTACTTATATATTTCAAAATTCCACAGAGTACTTAATATTAGAAATAATGTTAACTTAAAAAAAAAAAAAAAAAAAAAAAAAAGCAGCTAAAAATTTTAAGTTTACAATGATTTCTAGTCATGCCATTATTTAAAAACTAGAAACATAAGGTATAACGTGTATGAAACATCTGTACTATACATAAAACATGGTTATAATTACATAGAAAATTTAACTTCGAAGTAAAGCATACAATAATACACACAAAAACAAATTTCTTCGAATATATAAAAACGACATTTAATCATTCCATTATCTGAAATGTTACTATTTACATGTAGAAACATTTCATAAATATTACAATGATGATAACTATGCACAAAATATTCTACTGTTATTTGAATAATAACGCTATTTCATCATCAAGCCTTTCTATTACGAAAGAATGAATTTCTTCGTCTAAAAAAAAGGTTTTCATATAGAATCTATTCAGGACTTTAAATTAAACGGTCAACGTCAGCAAAATACCGAAACAGCGAAAGATGATCCATTCAAATGCCTTTTCAGTTAAGGACCCAAAATAGAATACACGGTCAATTTCAGCTGAAATATTGCGAAATAACAAGTACGTTTTAGAATTATAACTCATACTTAATTCTTTAAGAATCTCGAATTTGAGCAAGTCTTTTCAACACAGAATTTATATCATAAAGTTCAATTTTTAAAGTTTACTGAACACTTTTAAGTAACAAATCCTCTTTGTGTGAAAATTTAAGAAACTCACCCATATATATATCACCAAACGATCCACTTCCTATTTTGCGACCAAGACGGTATTTATTTCCTACTCGCAACTCCATGTTTTCCAATTGAGGAAAACAGAAGCACTTGCAAGGGAAGTAAAGCTAGTACAAAATTTCACTCAGATTCCAGGGTGGGCAGTATTCGCCATCTTGAAACTGAAAAGGCTGAACGACAACAATGAACGATATTTGTCAACTTCCACTAATTTTTCCCGTAACTGCTGCATTAGGAATTAGGAAAAGAAGCAGTTATAATGTTTTTATTGATATTCAAAAAGACAGAGATTATACTTCTGTGTTAACATAGTGATGATTTTTTCAAGATTAATTGGATTTTTAAATTGCATTGACCACAAACATTACAGCAGTCATTCTGCGCAGGCGCAATAGCTGCTGCAGTTACCCGGATAAAAATAAGAATTGTAACATTTTCAGCTGTTGATGACCTATCATAATTTGTCATCTGGACTCCTGTAAAAGGGGGAAATATTGTCCTTCATTTACCGCAATGGAATATTTTGAGATTTCGAGTTTCAAATACATGCAGTATGAGTCATATGAGTTTACCAAAACTGATCATTTGCAGGCGATATTATGACATTGTTTAGAGTAAAATAATCCAACTATTTTACAAAATATATAAAAATAAAATGATATATAAGTACCAAATGAGTATTAAAGTTCTTGCATTCCTTAAATGTTAAATCATTTTTCAGTGCGTATTAAATTTTTTCACGGAATCGGGCTCACGTACGTTTTGTCAAGAGACAATGTATGTAATCATTTAAATAAAAAAAATATAAATCCTTTACATATATTTCTTAATTTTCATATGTTTTGTTTCCATTTCGCAAATGAAAATTAAATATCCGTTACTTGGGAATTTATCCATTATTTTTTGTTCTTTTAAGTTGGCATTACTATGATGACACAGTTTGTTTATTTACGGATACACTGAAGCATGGAATCTGCTCATAATGATTTTTTAACTCAGTACAAAGCAATCTCCGCGAAGTTGAAAAAGTAAGTTTAAGTATGTGTTTTAAGAATGGCAGGGAAGAATATTTATCAAGTAGCTTTTCAGTTACGGGCGATATTTTTGTTAGGAATATAACATGTCACAAAATATAGCGCTAATTAAATAAAAACGCTCGAACCTATAATGATGTACATAGCAAGTGAGGAAGATTTATAAAAAGGTTAAACATTATTTAAACCATTCCTAATATTTGTTATTTATTGGAAGTTTAAGAGAGTTATAATTTTTCATATTGTAGAAGTTTTAACCTAACTCTCTCATCAAAGATAATTATGTAATTACGCTTCCATATTTTTTCCCCCTTGCATTTTTAGAAGATATATCGGCACTTTTGGTGGAAAATGTCGCCAAAGGCCGTAGGCTATCCGAAACGTGCTTTTATGGCAACTGGTACTATACCACTCATACTGAAAATGAAGAATGTCGAAAAAGAAAATTTATAGATCTACCATCTCTGGAAAAGCTGGCCCCAGTTATCAGAAAACTGCCGCCATAAATAATACAGATTTAGTATCGTATGTGTTACAGTATTAAATGTCTGAAGAGCTAATATCCTATACAGAAATTTTACAGGTTTCTCTGAATCCATTAAGATGGAGTGAATAAGCCCAGTGAACATTGCTACTTGCATTTGTGTTAATTTTTGGAAGGCAAAGCCCACCATTGGCCAAGCTGTAAAGTCACTAAACACAGGTAGTTCAGTCGGATACGAATCCCAGCAATGGGCTGGCTGTGTGAGCATTTTCATGGTTTTACGATGTGTAGCGTGTATATGAGCCAATTCCTTTTGAAAGTTTTCTACAAAGGCATCCTTCTCTTTTGGTAGATAGCCCTCAAGTACTTTACCATAATCTAATAAACCAAACCAAACCCTTTCTGGCAGTTATGTCGAAATATGCTGGCTGATGAACAGTTTCACAGTTTTATTCTTGTAAATATGAATTGTTCCTCTGCAGATCTTTCATGAAAGCATGCCTTACCTTGCCAGATAGCTTGTAATAAAATAACCTAACTACTAGTTTCCACACAATTAACAGTGTTCTTATCCCTCAATATATAAATAGAATTAGGGCATTCGAGTTATGGAGAGCATTTAAATTTTAGTAAATGATAAAATTTCATGCATCAGGGAATCAGAATGTAGAATGTTTAAAACCCTTCCTTAATGAATAGGGACAGCTGTGATCCAAATGGAGACAAATGAAACAAATTAAGATTAGTGTAATTATTACAAGTCATATAATTATTTTAATTTTAGTGAAATATATTCTTAAGAGTTATGTTAGTATTATGTAGATCAAAGGAAATGTGCATTTTCTAATTTTGAAAAATTAAAAAATATTCTGGTGCTTCCTTATTAATGTGGTTATTGTACTTAGTTGTCAATATTTGCAAGCTTAATCACTTAGTCTGTAATGTGCAAATTTCAAATACAACCAAAGTTAAAGTGCAGGATTGCCCACTTATTTGTTTGGCGCTTTTTACAAGAAGAATTGGATTTTTGTTAATTTTCTTTAACTTTTTTAAGTGAAAATAGGTTGATGTGTACATGGATAACGAGTATATGCAATTCTTAAAAACCTGCCAAGCAGTGGGTGATTCTGACACTTTCCTCCAAAGTTTAATATTGTGCCAAATATCAAAAACTTTAATGTATGTAGATTTCAGGGTATTTCTTCTGTTTTATGTATTTCTTTCGAGCACTCACTTCATTCACTTATTCTTTAAGACTGCTTGTCGTAATCCCATGCTATTAGAATTTTATGAAAATCTCCAGTGTCGTGCTACCCCACCTTGTGTCTCATCTCATGTCTAATAAAAAAATTTTTCTTGAAATAAATATCAAATTAAGATTGAATTTTGCTCATGTTAAAAATTTTGATAATTCAATATCTGCTTCATACAGTAAAGCAGGTGATGTATTATATTGGTGTCATTTTAAAGAAGTATTGAAGTGAGGAGAAAAAGATAAAGGTATGTATTAGCATTTTTTTAATATGGTTTTGGGCTAAATTAGGCAGCAATAAATAATGAGAATTTTAGGATTACTTTATTGAGGAAAAGGAAGTTATATTTTGCAGTGTATAATGTAGAGATAGTTGGTGGAAGCATTATAATATTCATCCATTGCCCTAATACTATAGTAGATGCTTTAGCATGCAATTTTAATGCACCTTAGTTAAATTGTATAAAGCCATTTTTAAGCAGAAAGTGCTGTAATGTATAAATTGACCTTATTGATAGCAAAGAAATCAATTTTTTTCTCATGCATTATATAATTAAATGTAAATTCTGAATTACATTCTGTAAAACAGCTATGCTTAAATTCACAAAATATTACATGATGCATGTATAAGTGCTGCAAAAAATGTCTTAATTCATTTAAAATTTTCTCCTTGAGTATTTGTGATACTTTCTTTCTTCCAGTTTTAGTGAGAAGTGTTTAAGGTACTATTCTCTGAGGACCATAAAAAAATTGCCAAACTATTGTTGATGCTAATGCTGCTAAAAATAATTGCGGCAACCCTAATGCAAGAAAGGAAGTATAATAGTAAATAAATATCTAAGATTATTGTTTTAATTTAGATGAAAGGTTAATTTCATATAATACTTTTTTATTATTATAATTTATATAAAAAAAATTAAACATAACTGAATGGAAGCATAAGAGTAAATAACTATTTCAGATCATTTGTTATAATTTATATAAAAAAGTCTAAACATAACTGAATGGATTTCTACATTGCTATTTCGCCACCGAGTTATCGCTAAAGTATAATTTCGTCTTGTTGGTTGATCAAACATAATTTTCTATAATGAATGATGCCTTTTCTTTGAAAAAATTTTATTGCAGACTTTTTGTCGTGGGCAATTCCCAAATTGTTAAATCCATAAGATATCAAAAGAGGATTTAAAATCAAAAAGGGATTTAAAACTAGTATTTCAATGTCATCTGAAGAAATGTAGAGCTAACTAAACTTACGCAATTTGAAATCAGTGTGCATGCTAGATTTGGCACGCTGTTAAATGGGTGCATTTCCTAGATTTAGCACTTTTGCACATACATTTTCGCTGCAATTTTTATGGTCTTCAAAATGGAATAGTACCATGTTTAATTTCATAAAAAGACTGGGTATTTTCCAATTATCTGCACTCCCAATTAAAAGTCATGAGCTAATTGGCAACTTTGGAGATAAATTTTTGTTTGGATGATCATTTCTATTTCATTAATGCATCCAGTGCCACATTTTTCTTTCTTCCTATACAAGATGTAAATTTCTAGGTCTTTTGTGCTGTTCTCCATGTATGCTCAGTGATGTGTTTTCGCTGGAACAAAAAATCATATAATTGCTCTAACTTAGCATCATCCACAATCTCAGTACAAAAATCCTAAAATGAGAAGGAAAAAAAGAGGTGCATGATGATTTTAAGTGAGCCATGTTGCATATATATATATGCAGAAATATATTTGTATATATATGCAGAAAGCTAAGTTTGTAATTTCTGTGAAAATGCTGAAAGTTGCTGTATGTGGTCTGCCTCTATGCTGAAATGCTGATAGGTGAGCTCATAATGTACAGTCACGCTGGCGAAAATATCTGGGGAAGTGGAAAGAGGATGCTATGCCATACATGGGTTGCAACATAAAAACGTTTTGGTGATTTGGTGCATTGCTCGTCAGTGTATACACAAGCTACGTATAAGCTACACAAGCTATAGCTTAGAGCCCCACCCCCAAATTAAAATATCGTATAAATAGTATTAAAATATTGTTACAAAATGTATAGGCATGGTAGGATAGCTTCTTTGCAAAGCAGGTTTAGGGTTGCCATAAAATGGCAAGGGAAGGCAGGGTTGCCACATTTGGTGATAAATTATGCATTTGGCGACAAAATTGGCGATATACCATGGACGGATGGAGAACCTTCTGTAACGAATTCTTACTGGTTTAGCCCAGATTGTCTCGAACACAAGCCGAAAGCTATATAAACCCTGCTGGTCCACAGTCAGTTAGTCTCATTTTCTATTTACGATTCGGAGCTGTGACGGCAAGCGTGTAGGACGTACTGAAGTTACTCTCCCGATTCTTGCAGATCTGTCCCAGTCCAGTAGGCAGACAGAGATTGCACAAAACTAATCCTTTCTTACCTTTGGGTAAATAAAATGTCCTTTTTTAGGACAGTCGGCGACACAGATGAAGACATTACGGACCCGGACCAACGGACCTATGATTTTACGGATACGGAATTCTCAGAAAAATCTTCAAATAGCAAGCAGAAATCTCCTTTAAAGATGAATGACTTTTTAATCCCGCCCGAACCGAAAAAGCATAAGAAAAAGAAAACATC